TCTCAACTGGTGCTCTTCTTCCCATTTCGATCCTCCTACACCCCTCGATTTCATCTCTGCTGAAAATATCGTCCGTACGTTAATGGCTACCCAAAACACCAATAATACCAAGAATTGTGATGTTATGAACCGGTTCATTGAGTCTGTAACACTGTTGAATCGTCAAATTTCTACTACTTCTGAGGAGTCTGTGACTCCTACAAGTGGACCCACAACTCCTCTTACTCGACCCTTGTGTTACTCTTCAGCGTCCTCCTCCGAAATGGCCCCTTCAAACACTAACTCTTGTGAAGAAGATGAACTCATCGTCAAATTGAAGAGCTCCCACGTGTTTGAACAAGAAGAAGCTGTGATCTCACTTAGAAAGCTGACCCGGACCCGGGAAGAAACCCGTTTTCAGCTCTGCACTCCTCGTTTGCTCTCAGCTCTTCGTTCTGTCATCTCCTCGAGATATGCTTCAGTACAGGTGAATTCCATAGCAGCGCTAGTAAACCTCTCCTTAGAAAATGGAAACAGGGTGAAGATTGTTCGTTCTGGAATTGTTCCGCCGTTAATTGACGTATTAAAAGGAGGATTCCCTGAATCGCAAGAACATGCCGCAGGTGCACTTTTCAGTTTAGCTTTAGATGATCAGAACAAAACTGCAATTGGGGTTTTGGGGGCACTGCCTCCTCTGCTTCACTCGCTCCGTTCTGAGTCCGAACGTACGCGGCATGATTCTGCTTTGGCACTGTATCATCTTTCTTTGGTTCAGAGTAACAGGAGTAAGTTGGTGAAACTTGGTGCGGTTCAATCGCTATTAGGCATGGTGAGAACGGGTCATATGACGGGTCGAATTCTGTCAATACTGTGTAACATGGCAGCGAGTTTAGAGGGGAGAGGATCTATGCTTGATGGGGGTGCTGTGGAGTGTTTTGTGGGTATGTTGAGACAGGGAGAGTTTGATGCAGAATCTATTCGTGAGAGTTGTGTTACTGCATTATATGGACTAAGTCATGGTGGACTTAGGTTTAAAGGATTGGCAAAAGAGGCTGCTGCAGAGGACTTGTTGATAACACTAGAGGGAATTTTGGAAAGTGAGAAAGCCAAGGATAAAGTTAGGAAGATATTGGAGGTGTTGAGGGAGAAAGACGAGGAGGAGGAAGAAATTGACTGGGAGGAGTTGCTTAATTCTGATGGTGATACAAATTCTTCATAGTTCTTTTCCCTTAATTGGGTGCTATTAAGTGCTTTTTTCTGGACATGAAATTGTAACTAGGCAAGGTTTTCTATTCACATAGTGGATTTTAGGTTTGCTTGTGGTGTCTTTTGAGACAATGTGTCCATTTGACAAAGTAAATAACGGTTTCTTGATTGTTGAAATTGTAAAGAAAAGATTTTGAACAGTGTGTTATGGTTTTGGGAAAATGTTTGTAACATGAGCCCATTGTCTTCTACTATTGTTTGGCCATCCTTGAATACCAGATTGTGTTCTTCATTTCTTGTGTAAATAAGGCTTCTTCTGTGAATATTTTGCGGTTTACGTCCGCTCTGTTTTGTTAGCTGTGCTTGATGTTGAGTTGTCCCGTTCCTCTGGTTGTGAAAAATTGGAACATATAATGCTCTTTTCTCTTTGTTAGTTTCTTGAAGGGTCTGTAATAGTATGTATTTACTGCTAACTAGAGGCAAAATGAACTCCTGAATTTCGCGTATGTTTAGATTCAATCATCTTGGTGGTTCAACAATGAAAGAGAAAAAGAATAGAGCAAAGCATTCTCACTATCTAACTGTACTTGAAAGGAGTACTTTTTTTAATCCAGAGCTGATCACGACTTGTTGTTACTAGACATTGGAGCTACACCGAGATGCTGATATTTGGTACTTCTATGGAGGTTTGCTTATTACGACTTAATCTTAAGCTTTACTAGGAATAGAGTACTCTAGCATTTTGTACTTCTCTCAAGAGCTTGCTGCAGCCACTAGCCCACTATTGTGATACTTCTGAAATGTGTTTGCCTCTTTCTTTTTCTTTTCCCCCTTGTGAATGCAGATTAATAATGGTGCGACTCTTTGCAGAGGATGCCAATTGAAAAAGATCTTATAATGCTTATATTGCTGCAATAGATATAATAGTTATACTTGGAGTCATCATGAAACTGGTATTCACAAATAACAGGTATTTCTGAATCTTTTCATTTACATATTACATCTTCCTTTTAAAGTAGGTGGGCATTGTCAATTTAAAATGTGACCAGATGCTATACTTCTAAGATCGATATGTGTATGTGAGTTCATATGTTTTTCGGGTATCCATTTGTTAGAGCAAAAGGCATGAGTACACATTTCCACAAGAATATCCATATGCATAATAGTAATTAGTTAGCTAAAAGCATGTACATCAAAATGCAATTTGAATAGGCATCCACTAACGATGAAGTCAGATGTAGGACAAATAACTTATTAATAAGGCCACAGCTGAGCAGGGGGCTATGCGTAAGATGAGAAGGGCTCTAGATGAGCAGGGGGAGAGCGACTGGGCCAGACAAAATTTCAGTGGAGTTTTGGAAGAGTGTAGGTAGGGCGGGCGTGGAATGACTCACTAGGTTATTTAATGTCATTTTTAGGACGAAGGAGATGCCACATGAATGGAGATGGAGCACGGTGATCCCGTTGTATAAGAACAAGGGTGATATCTAAAATTGAAACAATTATCAGGGTATCAAGTTACTAAGCCATACTATGCAAGTTTGGGAGAGAGTGGTGGAGATGAGGGCGAGGAAGATTGTGTCTATTTCTGAGAACCAATTCGGATTTATGCCTGGACGTTCCACCACGGAAGCCATTCACCTTGTTAGGAGGTTGATGGAACATTATAGCGAGAGGAAGAGGGATCTACACATGATGTTCATCGACTTAGAGAAGGCTTATGATAAAGTGTAGAGGGAAGTTCTGTGACGATGTTTGGAGGCCATTGTTCTTGTTGCATACATTAAGGTTATTAAGGATATGTATGATGGAGCTAAGACTCGAGTGAGGACAGTGGGAGGGGACTCGAAACACTTCCTAGTTATGAGGGGGTTACACCAGGGGTCAGCCCTCAGCCCTTTCCTATTTTCCCTAGCAATCGACGCACTGACGCGTCACATTCAGGGGAAGTACCGCGGTGCATGTTATTTGCATATGACATTGTGCTGATTGACGAGATGCGCGACGGTGTTAACGAGAGGTTAGAGGTTTGGAGGCAGACCCTAGAGTCTAAAGGTTTCAAGTTGAGCAGGACCAAAATAGAGTACTTGGAGTGCAAGTTCAGTGGTGGGAATCCGGTGGTGGACGAAGACGTGAGGCTAGATTCACAAGTCATCCCTAGGCGAGAGTTTCAAGTATCTTGGTTCTGTTATTCAAGGGAATGGGGAAATCGACGAGGACATCACACATCGTATTGGGACGGGATGGATGAAATGGATGCTCGCTTCCGGTGTCTTGTGTGATAAGAATGTGCCACCAAGAATTAAAAGGGAAATTCTATAGAACGGTGGTGAGACCGACTATGTTGTATGGGGCGGAGTGTTGGCCAGTCAAGAACTCTCATGTCCAAAAGATGAAGATGACTGAGATGAGGATGCTGAGATGGATGTGTGGGCATACCAGACTAGACAAAATTAGAAATGAAGTTATCCGGGACAAGGTGGGCGTGACCTATGTGGAGGACAAGATGCGGGAGGCAAGACTAGGATGGTTCTGATATGTGAAGAGGAGAGATACAGATGCACCGGTGAGGAGGTGTGAGAGGTTAGTCTTAGAGGGCCAACGGAGGGGTAGAGGCAGGCCGAAGAAGTATTGGGGAGAGGTGATTAGGAAAAATATAGTGTTGCTCTAGCTTACTTGGTACATGACCATGGATTAGAAGGTGTGAAAGTTGAGAATTAGGGTAGAGGGTTAGGTAGTCGAGCTTTGTCTTTATTTGGTTACTGTAGCTTTAGTACACCACTTAGTCTCTTTATGTATTTTCGCCTTTCTGGACTTCTTTTATTACTTGTGGTTGCCTTTGCTTCTGTTTTAACTGTACTAGCTAGTGATAGCTGTGTGTTTTCGCATGATTTTCTGATTGGTTTGCTTGTCATTGGCTCTTCCCTTTTATCTTCCCTGAGCCGAGGGTTTACCGGAAACAACCTCTCTGTCTTTTTAAAGGTAAGGGTAAGGTATGCGTACACACTACCTTCCCCATACCCCATTTGTGCGAATACACTGTTTTTTTTTTTTTTTTGGTTGTTGTTGTTGTAAGGCCACAGATACAGCAAGACTAACATGTGAATCTCGGAAGGTCAAACAGTTTGAGAAGCTTGGTTTTTAAGGACAGAGAGAGACAGGAGATGACAATGAGAAGCAACTCATCTGCTGATGCATATAGGGTGCAAGTGCTCTTACTCGTGCTCTCACAGCTAAACATAAGAGGGAAAATCAATTTGGAGCCCAAAGCTGGAGAGTCATGTTTGCATGGTCAAGCAAAGTTGTTTAGACAAGAGAGAATTGCTTAAGTGGTAAGGACCCTTCACCTCCGACGCTAAGGTTGCGGGTCCGAGTCCCCATAGGAGCAAAGTGGAAAACTCTTGGGGAGGGTAAAAGATAAAAGAAACAAGCATTTATTCATAGGATGAGAGTTATCTGTTGTTGCAGTCAACTTAACATGACGGTGTAAGAAACCGATATCTCTATCCGTGTATATGTAACTTAGATTCTTTATAGTAAACTAGTGGCATTTGCTATGATTACTTAATTGCTTTTTTTCACATCATCACTTACTTGTACCGCTCCCTAAACGAGCATCGCAAGAGTTATCTTGCCTTATATATGAAAAAGCTTGACAAACTTGCATAAACTCGCCAAAGAGCCTTCTTGCTACTTTATTTTTATCCAGAGCTTATTAGAGTTAGAAGGTTGCGTTTTGTTTATGTGGAGAAGCAAATAAGTAAGAGATAGTAGCTGCTCTTCTTACTTACACAAGGAAGAAAAAGGAGAAAGTAAAATAGGAAAAGCAGATATAATAAAACTGCACTAATCTCATAATACATTACTGTTAACTACTGAAACAAAGGGATGGCATGGAATGAAATGACCCAGCTAGTCATTGTGTCAAGTAGGGCATTTATTTATCAAAATCTCTTCTGAAAATCATTACTAGTACTAGTCAGCTATTACAATTCACATATGCAAAGTCATGCAACAGTTCCTATATAAACCATCTTAGAGCTTCAATCTCAATTTTCATGGGCACTTACGCCTGCCTCCGCGGGTGGTCATATTAGCATAACATTTGCCACATTTGTCTAGGTTCCCATATTGGCCTGGCGGAACACATTTGCATCTTAAACAACAAGTAGTGCATGCTCTTAGGCATACATTCTGCCTCGAATGCAACTTGCACCTCACCTGGCATAGGGGAACGCAGTCTGCACATACATAGATAGAAAAACTTGTTACCGAAGAAGGACATTCCAGAGATCACTTGAAGATTAATTATAGAAAAAATTTAAGTTAGTGATCATTATACCAGGTTACCAGTTAATGTTTATTATAGAGATTTCCTTATAATTACCTTATAATGTAACTTATATGGAGTTCCCTTCTTTGTTACTACTAATAAAAATCGTTGTTTTAGACGAAAGAAGAGTTTGACCCGATGCTTATTTCTGACCTAGTTGATACGCATCTTTGATCTCATTAATTCTCGATATTGAAATATACTATATAAGACCAATAAGATTCCAGATCTCGTTATCAACCTTTTGGCCTAAAAATATTATCTTTTCAGTAAAGCCGTTTGATTAGGGAAATATTATATCCCTTAGGAACCTTACAAGCATCTTTTGATGCATACGGTTCAAAAAAAATGTAATTCAACGTATAGATTCCAGTCCTTTTTCTTTTACTTTTCTTTCTATTTCCTTTTTCTTAATGAAGATAGTGTGACTGTTTTTATTGCACGATTTCAATGCATAAGATCGTATACATAGTTTTCTATTATAAATAGAAAGAAAGTCAAATTTGTCTAAATACTAGACATAAGAAAAGACAAATGCAGGAAAGAAAGTAAAGATAGGACTTAAACTCTTATATAAATGCCTTATACCTGCTGTGTTCTTTGGTGGTGAAACGGGGGGAGCAGGGACTGGTGGTTTCTTGGCTGGTGGTGGAGAAGGAGGTGGTGGTTGCTTGCCCGCCGCAGGTGGGGATGGTGGTAGCTTGACTGGAGGTGGCGGTGATGGTGCCTTTGCTGGCGGTGGAGGAGGAGGAGGAGTCACCTGGGTGGGTGGGTATGGAGCGGTTGGAGAGGATGCATTGACTGGTGGTGGGGGGCTTAATATCTTACCATGTGGGAAAGCACCAGGGGCAGTGTTGCTATCTCCGTTCTGCAGCCAAAAGGAAAAAGTGTTCATGAACTAACGTCACTTTTGTGAACTATGCTTTATTTTTGGGTACATATAAAAGAATCTTAATACTCTTCATAATTGTAAGTAGTTTACACTTAATCATGAGCATGAATATAAGAACAAACTTCTTTATGGCGAATAATGTAAATGCTTAACAATATAAGGAAAATGTAGGATAAGACTCCTACAGTTCATATTCTATGTTGTATTTAATCGTATGGATCTAAGCATAGTAAAGTAGGTAAGTATCATTTGTAGTTAATAGAAATGAAGTGTTGAATAGACATACACTAGAAGCGATGAGAAGCAAAAAGGCAAAGAGAAGTGGCATAGGCTTGAAAGCCATAGTGAAAGCAAGTAGCTGGAGGGCAGGAATGGTAGTAGCTGAAAGAGAGCACTACTCAGAAGCTAGTTGATGAAAGATTTATGACAATAAGATTAGGTATATATAGGACGTGGAGCATGCACAAGGAGAAGCTAACGAGTGTCAGATCCGACTATGAAATTCCGGGTTTGATTGAATCTACTCCCTCCTGTGTAATTTTTTTTAGTTGTTTTCACACAGATTAAAAAATTCACCTTTTAATATTAATTAGCAATGAAATTGACCATATTAACCTTTACTATCTCTTCCCGTAAACACTCGTAACACATATTCCAACACTATTTACTCCAAGGGAAATGAAGGAAAAAAAATAATTAATTCATTCTTGAAATCTAAAAAAATCACTTATTTTGGACACAAAAAAGGCCAAAAAATCACTTATTGTGGACCGGAGGGAGTAGTATTTTCTGGTTGAATTCAAAGGGGATCCAAAATTTTAGTTATGGGTTCAAATTTAAATTTGTTAAAATTTTAATGATCTTTTTACATGTATATTTATGCTTCGTCTTGCAAGTTCCAACTGCCTCTGAGCGCAGTGGTGGCTTAACCATAAAGCCACTAAAGCAAGGGCTTTAGGCCCCAAAAAATAAGGTCCCAAATTTACTTAAATTATATATAGTATAAATAATTATGGATTTATTATTAGAGATAAATAAATTGTTCTTAATCATTTGTTATCAATTTTTAATCAATCATTATTTGTCGATTTTTTAATTTTATACTACATTTTAAAAATATGATTGATATAATTATAGTTGAAAGTTGTATACTATTAAATTTACAGCTACTTTCTTTTTTTTTTTTGTTACCTCACCCATGGTGGCTGGGCTCGACTTCTTAATTTGTCTAACACACTTTAACTTGCATCAACTTTGTTTATAATTATAATTTTGCAGAATCTTCTTCTATTCTTTAAGTGCTTTTTAGACAATTTTTCAATCTCAAGCTAAAAGCATTTTTTAACCTTGAATATTCTTTAAGGCCTCTTTTTAAATTTTGACGTTAGGCCACATGTAGAGTTGAGCTGCATTTGTCTGATTGAACCATATTGTATGGGTCAGAATCCGACCCCACGATAATTAACGGAGTTAATCCCGTCTTAAGCTAATTCATGATTAATTAGTGGCACGACCACTTAGAATTAACGATATTCAACCCTCATCTGATTCGATCAACAAGGCCACGGCCCATCCGCCACCATGAAGGCGAAATCCCAACATGGTCACGACCACTTATTGCCAGCTCACGAAGCTCACAGCTATAAATACCAAGAGAGGAAACCCTAGAAAGGGGCTGCTTCTTCACCACTATTGAGGAGAGAGAGAAAAAACACAATGATACCCATATTGTGAGAGAGAAAAACACCATTGTAAGGCTCTGAACCTCTTCATGGAGAGGCATGCCAAATCAACATTATCAATAAAGAATCTTAATGTTTCTCCTCCTAACTCTGAGTACTTATTTTCGTTTCCTTTATTTGGTCCAACGAATTATTACGGTTTGCTATGATTTCCCCGTGATTTATTTATATTGTTTTATACTCATAAGGTATGTGATAACTTTTGAGCAAACAATTTGGCGCCGTCTGTGGGGATTTCCTAGCAAAATCGCGTAGTTCTTCCCTGGACCAAAAAGGAAGAAACGCCAGAAAAGGAAAACAAAAGCAACCCAGCTCAAACAAGCCAAAGCGCATGTAGGACAAGGGGAACTCGAAGATCTCAAGTCAATATCCAAGTCCTCTCTCTCTCTCTCTGATCTTGGATAGTGCAAAAAAAGAAGAAGAAGCCCCTCCTAAGGGAGAATCTCTCTAAGGCATCTACCGCATCCCTGATACGAGCTCCGGCCAGAAACTGACACGGAGATATCTTGAGCCAAGAGTCTCCTCAAGACAGCCTATCTACTCCGATTGGGAGGACAACGCATAAGCTGCTCAAGGTCTCGAATCAAAACCGAGCTTCGGCACTCAATACCCACAACTAAGACCAGGCTACGCGCCTTCACCAGTAAGTTCAACTACGGTTGAACCAAGACTCAGGCTATGCGCCTTCGCCATCAAAATTGACAGTTCAACAACAGTTGAACTGGGACTCAGGCTACGCGCCTTCGCCATTAAATCAAGGCTATGCGCCTTGGCCAATAAGTTCAAATACGGTTGAACCATGACTCAGGCCATGAGCCCTTCGCCATCAAAATTGACAATTCAACAACAGTTGAACTGGGACTCAGGGCTACGCGCCTTCGCCATTAAGTTCAACTACGGTTGAACCAAGACTCAGGCTATGCGCCTTCGCCATTAAATCAAGGCTATGCGCCTTCGCCAATAAGTTCAAATACGGTTGAACCATGACTCAGACTACGCACCTTCGCCATCAAAATCGACCAAGTTCAACAACAGTTGAACTGGGACTCAGGCTATGCGCCCTCGCCATTAAATAAGGCTATGCGCCTTCGCCAATAAGTTCAAATACGGTTGAACCATGACTTAGGCTACGCGCCTTAGCCATCAAAATCGACCAAGTTCAACAACAGTTGAACTGGGACTCAGGCTACGCGCCTTCGCCATCAAAATCGACCAAGTTCAACAACAGTTGAACTGGGACTCAGGCTATGCGCCTTCGCCATTAAATCAAGGCTATGCGCCTTCGCTAGTAAGTTCAACTACGGTTGAACCAAGATTCAGGCTATGCGCCTTCGCCAGTAAGTTCAACTACGGTTGAACCAAGACCCAGGCTATGCGTCTTCGCCAGTAAGTTCAACTACGGTTGAACCAAGACTCAGGCTATGCGCCTTCGCCATTAAATCAAGGCTATGAGCCTTCGCCAGTAAGTTCAACTACGGTTGAACCAAGACTCAGGCCATGAGCCTTCGCCATCAAAATTGACAGTTCAACAACAGTTGAACTGGGACTCAGGCTACGCGCCTTCGCCAGTAAGTTCAACTACGGTTGAACCAATACTCAGGCTATGCGCCTTCGCCATTAAATCAAGGCTATGTGCCTTCGCCAATAAGTTCAAATACGGTTGAACCGTGACTCAGTCTACGCGCCTTCGCCATAAAAATCGACCAAGTTCAACAACAGTTGAATTGGGACTCAGGCTACGCGCCTTCGCCATTAAATCAAGGCTATGCGCCTTCGCCAATAAGTTCAAATACGGTTGAACCATGACTTAGGCTACGCGCCTTCGCCATCAAAATCGACCAAGTTCAACAACGGTTGAACTGGGACTCAGGCTATGCGCCTTCGCCATCAAAATCGACTAAGTTCAACAACAGTTGAACTGGGACTCAGGCTATGCGCCTTCGCCATTAAATCAAGGCTATGCGCCTTCGCCAAGAAGTTCAAATACAGTCGAACCATGACTCAGGCTATGCGCCTTCGCCAATAAGTTCAAATACGGTCGAACCATGATTCAGGCTATGCGCCTTTGTCATCAAAATTGACAAAGTTCAACAACAGTTGTATTGGGACTCAGGCCATGAGCCTTCGCCATCAAAATCGACTAAGTTCAACAACAGTTGAACTGGGACTCAGGCTATGCGCCTTCGCCATTAAATCAAGGCTATGCGCCTTCGCCAAGAAGTTCAAATACAGTCGAACCATGACTCAGGCTATGCGCCTTCGCCAAGAAGTTCAAATACAGTTGAACAATGACTCAGGCTACGCGCCTTCGCCATAAAATCAAGCCCATGCACCTTCGCTAGTAAGTTTAGCTACGGTCGAACCAAGACTCAGGCCACGCGCCTTCACCATCAAATCCAGCGAGTTCGACCTCGCTTGAACCATAAGGCTAGATGCCTTCGTCCTCAAATCTAACAAGTTCAACCACAGTAGAACCAGGACTCGGACGAAGCGCCTTCATCATTGAACTCAAAGAAACCCAACCTCCAACGAATCGAGGCACAGGTTAGGCACCCTCGCCCTTCAAGTAAGTACTCTCAACTCAAACTAAGATTGGGGACACGTAAAGTCCGGCCCCGGTCAAACTACAAGGCCGCGTTTTTGTCATCACGGCCGACAGTTCGACCGCGCCCGAACTGGGACTAAGGCTAAGTGCCGCTATCGCCAAGCAATGGCTCCGACTCGCTCACCCCGAGTCGAAGAAGAAGAGTCGTCAACAATTAAAAACTAACATGCCTACCAGAGTCGAACTCGAAGGCAAATCACCCCTTCGAGCGCATGCAAAGAAAAATCTAAGGGGGAAAAAGAGGAGATACAAAACAGACACAAGGCAAATAACGGAAAGGAGATCTCATTTATCTACAAAGTTAATTGCGGGTCTTCCCCGCTTACACCCGGCCAAGGCCGATCAATACAAGGAAAGAGAAAATAAAAAATAAGAAAAAATGCATATCTTTTTACTCGGCGCCATCCGCGCCACCATCAGCACCAGCGTCAGCCTCTGGCGTCGTCCCGTCAAAACCACAGTCGGTACGGGCCTCACGAGCCTTTTGACGTGCTCCCTTGAAAGCAGCTTCAGTCACGATGCCGGCCTCCCACAAATTCTTATATACATCACGTTGGGCCTCGGCAAAGACCCAAAGTTCGCGAGCTTGGCTGGAAGAAGCGGCTTGGTCCCGTAGGCGCTGATTCTCTTCTTCTAAGGCTGTGATCCGGTCCGCCATGACTTGGGAGTCCTGCTCAAAGACACCGATCCGCTCCTCAAGATTCGCTTCTCTAAAGGCCGCAGTAGCCCTCTCCAACGCCCGTTGGGACTCGTGCACGCGGATAGCTTCCTTCAACGCCCCAGCCCTCGACGAGGCATCCCTCACCTGAAGCTTCAATACCGCGACTTCACCCTCCAACGCGGTCACTTTCCCGCCCCATGCCGCAGCGGCCTCCGCCGCCTTAGCCTGGCCCTGGCGCTCACACTCAGCTGCGGCTCTCTTTACCGCCTCGAGCTCCTCATCCTTCCGGCGGAGCTGCTCCTCGAGAGCACTCGTTCTGCCAAGTGTTTGCTGCATTTGAAGCTCCCGCCTCGCCAGTTCCTCGACCAAGGCCTGGCTACGGAGATCATTCCTCAAGCGCAC